CCTTGTTCGCCTTCTTTGTGGCCGCTGTCCTTGTCACTGGGAGCTGGCAAAGGAGGCAGTGGCTGGCTCCAGCCCCTTGCCCAAGGGCTTGAACTACACCTCGGCTGAGTGGTGATGTGGGAATGGGGTTACTGTGGCCAGTGCAGAGAGCCCCGGGGCAGGAGTGTGGCCCGATGGCTGGGGACGTGCTGGGTGTGATCCCTGTAGCCGTGTCTATCTGGGACCCACTGGCTCTGCTGACCTCACCCCACCTTGTTCTCTGTCCCTGCAGGCTCACTGGGGCCCGGAGCTATCGGTGCCATTGTCATCGCCTCCCTCCTGGGTACGTCTGTGCTTGTGGCCTTGGTCGTCATCACACTGAGAAAGTTCTCGGCCTCTTGAACTCAATAAAAGATTTTTCTGTAAAACACCCAGTCCATCTCCTGCCCTCAGCTGCTCCTGCTCCCCGGCTACCTCGGGCCGCCTGGCGAGAAATGCTGCTGCAGATGGTGGCAAAGGGCACTCCAGCCTCTGCACTGGGCAGCAAAGCTTCACCCCAATGTGCTTTTTGCTCTTAGCATGCAGCTCTCGTGGGCCCACACAGACCTGGAGGCTTGACCACAGCGGCCAGTGTCACCCTCACAGGAGGGGACGGGTGGTAGTGAGTGGCTTTGAGCTGGCATCAGCTCTTTTGGTCTGGCCTGGGTCGCAGTAATGGTGTTAGGCATCACCTTGCACAGCTTTCCTTGGGAAGGGTTGTTCAGCTGGTGTAAACCACCCTGGTACTTCCCTGGCTTCACCCCATCTTCATGTTGAGCCCCACCTCCACCCCCCTGCATCTGGGCCAGTTGACCCCACCAGTTGCACTGGAGGGGACAGGAGGTGAGCAGTCGGTGTGGGGGAGGAAGACAACACACACGTGTTGCTTTGGCGCTGGCTTGCTCAGCTATATTTCATCACACGGAAAAACGAGACAACGAGAAGTTCCCCCTCAGTTTGCTGAGGCAGCCTGGTGGGGGCTGGGGGGGCTCCAGCTGGTGCTTGTGGGCCCCAGGCCTAGCCCTGTACAACACTTGAGACCACTGAAACAGAGGCGTGCAGGGCTGGGTCAGAGGAAATAACACTGGATGCCATTTGGTGCCTGAAAATGGCACAGCCTGTGCCTAGGGTCTGGAGTCCTAAAAAGTCACAACAGAGCAAGAGGGCCTGGGGCAAGCCTACGGCTGGGCAGTGGGTTGTGGGACAGTGCACGTCAGCCCTAGGCCCCTCTCTGCCTCCCTCTAGTCTGTTCCCTTAAATATGCAGCAAGGAGCTGGTGTCCTGGCACTGGGGAACCTGGGTCAGCCCCTCCACTAGCCAAGGAGCTGTTTCTGATGGGCGAGGGAGGATTTCTGTGCCATGGGAAATATCCCAGGTGGGCTTGTGCAGCTGTAGTGCCTGGGCTGGCCGCTGTGCTGCAAAGCTGGAGGATCTGGGATGTGGTGATTTCTCAGGTAATTTTAAAGACTTCTGGAGTTAGAGCTTCTCTGGGTTTTGCTGTAGAGAATTTCTGGCTGCTGCAAAGTCTGGATGCTGAACCAGAGGTTTGGTTGTACTTAAAAAGCTGACTGCAGGGTGCTGTTGGGGGAATCTGACTTGGGGTCTCTCTGTTTAATGAGCTCGAAGCACCAGACTGGAGGCTGTGGTCCCTTCCTGGCCCCCAGCTCTCGGCTGGGTGCTGGCAGGTATCTGGGAGCCTCTGGTTGGTGTGAGCTGCACAGGGACCCTCTCTTGGGGGTGCTACAGGTGGCTAGGGCAGGCAGGGCCCTGCTGGCTGCTGTCACATGCTAACATGGTGGCACCGAGCTAGGCCTGAAGGGAGAACCCTTCTGCTCTCCCTTCATTGCTGTGGTCTCCACCAGTTCGGTCCTGGGGGCTGGCTGCAGCCCCCCAGTGCAGGGCTGACTCTGGGCTGGCTGTCCCAGAGCTGCGGTGACAGTACAGATAGCCCCATCCATCCCTCAGCTCGGTCTGGCCTCACACCCTACGTGTAACCTGGGCCCGATGTGGCACAACGACCAGCTCCAGAGCCCCCCTCCAGTGGGTCCCGGTGTCCTGCTTTCTCCCTGTGCTGCCCTCATCATGACTGTGCTCCTCTGCACTGTGTGCGTGGCTGGTGCTCACCGTTGCCTTTTCAAGCACGACTGTGGCACTGCTGGAGCCTACAGCAGCGCAGGCCACAGCACCTGGAAGACTCTCCTTTACAGTGTTACAGAAAGATGCCAAATCACTGATTTCCCTGATGCACGCTGGCTACAGCATGGGACCAGCCTGTAGCCAAGAGGATCTTGGCTGTGGCCACGTGTAGGACTGTTCGCAACGAGGCTGTTGAACAACAGGCAGCTCCCGTGGGTCCATCCCCTGGCTGGTCTCAGTGCTGTGCTGTGCCCTGGGCTTCATGCGATGCTCAGTGCCACAGCTGGAAGGAGCAATGATCCGACTGCTGGCGACAGAGGGTTTGCATATATACATGGAGGTGAGCCTGTACAGGGAGCTTGTGCACGCAGCTGGGTGGTGTGGGTTACAAGCATGCAGGCAGCAATTGCTGGACCTCCCACGGCACGCGGGACAACAGCTCCTGGGGCAAGGTCACTCGCCTGCTGCATGACAGCCCAGGTCTGCTGGTGCTCCTGTGGTACATGGTGGTGTGCGGGGAAGCGCTGGCACAGCCACCCTGCTCTGTGCCTCGGCAGCAGTGAGCAGCAGAGACTGAGCGCCAGGTCAACCAGGAGAGGCTGCGGTGCCAGGCTTCTGCAGTGGCTCTGAGGAGGGATGCTGGCTGTGAACGGGGGTGAGCCATGGGGCACAGCCAGATGTGCTTCGAGGGCACCAGGCGGGCAGAGATGTGGGTCAGGGCTGGCGAGGTTGGGCTGCTGGCGGAGTGGGGCTGGGTATGGAGCATTTTGGAGCGTTTGACTGGAAGCAGATTGAGGGTCTGCCCATGGGAATGGGCCCAGCCGTTTCACAGCAGGACTCGGGAGGTGGAGTTGCTGGGGCTCGTCCCAGCCTGGTGCCAATGGGCTGCGTGAGAGGCAGTGAGACAGCTCCTCTGCTTCAGTTTCTACTTCTATGAGATGCCGCTTTAGGAGGGCCCCAAACTCAGAAGGTAGTGATGAGCTGTAAGGGCTCAAACTGGGTGATGTTAATTGCTTCATTACATTTGTGGCCACATGCCTTTCCCAAGAAGCCTCAGCCAGCCCCAGCTAGCATGTGTGCAGGGAACAGGAGTCAGCGGGCCGGCACCTGACCACCTTCAGGCTGTGTCCATTTGGCTCGTGCTCTTTGGGGCTTTACAGAACACCTGGAAAAGGGTTATTTTAGACAGTTTGAAGTACTGATCTCCAAGAAAGGATCAGAGCCACAGGAAGCATGGCAGGGAGCCCAGGAGCTACAGTCTGTTTGTTCAGGGGTGCGTGTGCCTGCTCCAGCACACCAGGTCCATAGCCCACAGCACCACCCACACGTCCTACCAGCTGGCAGCCTCTGTCCTCTGCCCCTCTCTCAGAGGCACTCCAGATGCTTGGCGACGCTGGTGGTCATTGGCGGTTTCTGCTGCCCAGTTTCCTCCGCTGACTGTCATCCGACTTGTGCACCCGGAAACACTCCTTCAAGTTCTGGGCTCGGATTTTGGGGTTCAGGATCTCCTCCCCCATAGAACTGGGGAACCAGCCCCTCTCCTGGTCGTGAAGACGCTCCCCAAATATCCAGCCTGAGCAGAGACAGAGACAGGCATAAATGGGTAAGGACTGGCCATTGCTCCTCTGCTGGGACAGCTGTACTGGGAAGAGCCTAGGGAGCTGGCAGTGCTTTCTGGCAGCTGCTCAGAGGCCTGTGCTGGAGCGGACCCAGTTTGCCAAGGAGGCCTGCTTGCCTGAGCAGCACCGCGTTTGGACAACTGGCGCATGGGATACCAGCAGAAAGCAGGCACTGGTGCCACTGAGTGTCCTCCCCTGCCACCGGCATGGTCCCCAGCAGAGACCTAATGTGACCCAATCCACTGGCTACGAGTGTGCCCCAGAGACCAGGACCAGGTGGCTGCAAAGCCTCACCAAAGTAAGAACAGCTCTGTGTTGTATCTCGGGAGGCTGTGCCAGCCCTGCCATAGTCCACAGACAATGTGTCAGCATTGCCACAGTTCAGGGCAGCCTGGATTTGCTGAGTGTTAGGAGGAGGCAGTAACTCCCTCCTCCTTCTGTGAGCTCCTGCTGATGCCGGGGTCTCTCCCTGGCCAGAGGAGCCCTCCTGTCTGCTCAGCAGCCGCCTGTCTAGAGCAAAGCCCACCTTTCCACAGGGATGCCCAGCCCAGCCCCACCCCATCCCATCCCCATACCATCATCTGTCTTGTCCAGGATGTTGAGGATGTCAGCCAGTTCCAAGGACAGCTCATCTGGCTGCTGGGCCACGTATGGGTGGACACACTGGATCTGTGGGCAGTCTGCCAGGGAACAGGGTGAGAGTGAGGGATGGACTGGGATGGAACCTGCTGCAGGACAGCACAGCTTGGGGGGCTGTTAGCACCGCAAGCTCTGCAAATGTGGAGGCCAAGGGGTGCCCCAGCCACAGGGACCGGGGGAACATCTCTGTGAGGAAGGGAGCTGGGTGCATGTCACCACCACAGTGCCACCCATGAGAGCCTGGGTGGGAGGCAGAGTGCTGGTACAGCCCAGCATAGGTTGGAGGGGAGCAAGGTCAGGGCCAGGCCCAGAGACAAGTGGGTATTGATGATGGAAACACAAGGGGGGGCCTAAGGAGAGGGCTCAGCTTTGGCAGAGGCCCCAGCCTATGGGCTGGACTGAGATCAGGGCAGAATAAGGTGCCCTGGGGTAGGGGTGAAGACCTCCTGGCTCCCATACTGTGTCTCTTACCAACAAGTCTGGATGTAAATGAAACAAATTTGGTTCTCCGGTTTGGGGCCAGCGAAATCATCCAGCGCTTCATTTCGCTCCTGGATAGGGGAGACAAACCAAGCCTGTGAGTACAAGACAGAGACACCTTCTCTCGTAGAGCTCTCCTGCCCAGCCAGCCCTGGGCTCCTAATTCCTTCCTTTCACTGCCCTTTCCTGCCTGCCACCCCCAGGGTCCTGGACTCATTGGTGATACTCAGCCCTCCTGTTACACACACTGGCTAGGATGTCACACAGGCCTGGCTTGCTGCACAGCCACCAGGTTGTCTCTAGAAGCACCAGGATCCCCCTTTGGGGAGCAGCACAGCTTCAGAGAGCCAACAGCAGGGTGTGGGGGCTTGGCATCCTCTGAGCTCTAACCAGTAAAGGCAGCTCCTGGCTGAGCTGAGTTGATAGAAGCAGTTTTTCCTGGAGAAAAGGAGGTAGAGGAACCATTTGTTTGCGTGGCTGCGGGAACATTTAAAGGGCAGAGCTGATTAATTCACTTGCAGATGATGCTGCGGCATACCAAGGGTATCACTTACTTGGCAGCGGATGAAAGACCTGTGTGAACACATTGCCAGATCCAGTGCGCTGTTATGCAAAACCTGGGCCTGCAGCAGGAGGGTGATTTCACAGGTGCTGGAGAAGCCCCAGACCTGAGGCTCCCGCAAGGCTTCCCTCAGCCCCGCTTGGAAACAGGGCAGTTCATCTTCACAGGCTCCACCTCCTGCCTGGAGGACCAGCTGTACTCCCAGCCCTGAGGGAGCCAGAACTTTCTACTTTCTCAGATGGTAGTTTGAAAGCCTGAACTTGACACATCTAAAGCTACCAGTGTCTTCTGGGAGGAGAAAGACCTGAAAGGAGGACGTGAAGAACGAGTGCTGGCAGGCTGATCTGGAGGGCTAGGAATACCTTGTGCTTCAGAGCTGCAGCGTCATGGCAAGGACCAATGAAAACACCTGCAGCTGCAGGTTGAGTGCAGCCCCTCACACCACAAAGACATACAGGAGGAAGGCCCTGTGCACTGAGGGGCTGGCACACAGAGATCAAACCAAGGGTCTTGCTGTGCTTGTGGCCGTATCTGCAGGTTGGCCTTGCGTGCAGCTCCTTCCAGGACTCTTTGGATCCTGTCCACAGCTCCCAGCTACTCTCAGCCTGTGAGGGGCCCACCTGCACTCCAGTCCTGCCCCAGCGACCACCCATGTCCAAGTGTACTGCCTGCTCCTGGCAGAGCCACCAAGCAGGTCATCATTGCCGTTACGGGTTCAGAGCTGGGCAATGCTGCAAGAGCTGTGGAACAGATGCAGCACTCTCTGGTTTTGGCACCCACTTATCTCTTCTAATTCTTGAGTTTTCCAGTTTGTGCCTGGTATGCCCTGATCATCCCTGCAGCTCTGGAACAGCAGCCTTCAGCAGCTGCTACACCACATTTCAGTGCACAACACCTGTTGGCAAGCCATGTGCTGGATCACGTGCTCACTGTGGCCATCTAGAAGATGGGACAGGATGCAGAAGCCCAGAACTACAACTGCCTCCCCTGAGCTGAGGAAACTCTGGCCTGGTTTATCGTTCTCTGCACAGCTAAGTCTCACAGACGTCAAATGTGCGTTTGCCCTGCATAACATGACTGACATCTCTATTTTCAGTACAGCAAAGCTGCAGTCGCGTGTCTGGGGAGAAGGCGCAGTTGCTCGCTGTGCTGGGGGCTTATCTTCCCGATGCTGGTGCTGCACTGCGCTGGAGGGGGGAGGAGTCAGGGTGCAGCCCCTGGGACTGCAGCAGGATGTGGTCCCAGCGGGGGCTGGTGTTTGTTAGGAGATACGGGTGTTGATGTCACTGACCTGCTGACAGCCAGGTAACATCAAGCTGGGGGTGCACATCATCTCTAGTAGCTGTTTAGCTGGTGGTACATGGACTGCTATAATAGCACAGATGCTGTGCCTAGAAAATGTGGGCCTGTAATGTAGGGCTTGGGTCAATGGGCTTGGGTCAATGGGAAAGATGTGCCCTGAGCTCCAAACAATCGGGTCTGTGTTAGCACAACTGAATCATTTGCCCAGTCTGAGCTCATTGGAGCCTGAAGTGAAAAACCAGTGAGCCAAAAAAACCTGTATCCAGGGCGACAAGGAGGCCCCGAGCAGCAGAAGGGCTGTGCAAGATCGGCATTGGCTATGGAATGCACTGAAGAAAAGGCCCCTTCTCCACCTTTGCCTACAAGCAGGAGCCACTTTGCTTCACAGGGCTGGTTAGGCACGGCCTTGACCTTTGGGAGTGAGCCAGCTGAGCCGCTGGCATGTGCACAGTGCACATCCTACTTGCTTTTACTTTCTGAATATGCTGCAGAATGAGAATCAGTTGGGGTCCTGTGCTGGGTCTGATCTCTGACCTCTCTGTCCCAGAATGCAAAGTGCCCGTCCATCTTCCACCCTGGATGCTACACCACACAGGAGAGAAACCACCTAGGTCATTGGTG